ATTTATTTATTTGAGAGAGAGAGAATGAGAGACAGAGAGCAGGATAGGGGGAGGGTCAGAGGGAGAAGCAGACTCCCTGCCGAGCAGGGAGCCCGATGCAGGACTCGATCCCGGGACTCCAGGATCATGACCTGAGTCGAAGGCAGTCGCTTAACCGACTGAGCCACCCAGGCGCCTGAAAGAAAACTGCTTTTAAGAAACAACAGCTGTACCTGTTTATTGTCACAATACATTACAAAGGTTTCTTGGCAAATACCTAAGATAAACATTGAATTACGACGCAAATGAAGGAAATATACAGTCTTGTACATCATTGAAATCAATGAAAGTTTATTCAAATGCTTATGCAAAAGACTTTCTCAGCATCAACGCCATTCACTAATATTCCCCATCACTGTTAAGACGAGGAAGGGAAAGCCACTGGTTTAGCACTTTTTTATAAAAAGGAGTAATTCACAAGCTTGAAAACGGCAAACAAGATGGGGTGCCAGAAGGAGGTATTCAGTGGCTCCTAAATTTACCCAAGACTAGCAGTTTGGTCACTCCCAGAATCAGCTTCCAGACTGGTCGGCCTGCAGCAGGGCGGAGGGGGCACAGAAAGAAAGGGAATGTGCTCAGTTGAAACTGGGCATTAGAAGCTGTCCTCAGTACTGGCTTCATGTCTACACCCACGTCTAACCCATCGAGAAGCATCTTCCCGAACATCAGAGTCGCTCCTGGAGATGACACGGGAGGAGCCACCAAGGGAATGTGTCCTCGGCAGCGCCTGGCACACCGGCCGCTTCCCTGCTCAGCCTCTGGGCAGCAGTGTTTTGACGGGGCCCACCCACAAAGAGCTGGTTTTATCCAGCTATGAAGTCTAAGGAAATGTACAACCTCAGGAGGACAAAGTTAGTGTGACAAGTCGGGGAAGAAGCCCTGATGGACAGGACTGTGGGGGACGGGAGGCGCTGGCCACAGGTGTCTGGCTAGGACCTGGTGCACCTGAGCCTGAGGCCCCCTCCGGAGCAGGGAAGCTCATTTGATGAGATTCCTCATGATATTCAGGGAGGACCCTCTATACCCTGATCCAAAATGATTCCAGTGGTTCAAATAGTGGAAGAGCTGATAGAGCTGCAGGCGTGACTCAAACCCCGGGGCCTTGGGGATCGCACTGTGGTAGGCGGAGTAGAAGGAGCGGCTGAAGCCCCCAAACATGCCGGCTATCGCCAGCTCGTATTCCGAGTGGCCGTAGAAAGAAGCCGGATCAAAAATGATGGGCCCAGAGGAGTCCTCTGCTACGTTTCCTCCCCAGAGGTCTCCATGGAGCAGGGCTGGGACGATGTCCAGGTCACGAAACAGGTCAGGGATCTTCAGCTGCAGGGTAGGAAACGATTCTCAGCAAAGTACCCAACACGTGTGGGAGGGATGCAGATGCTTTTCTGAGTGTGGCCCAACCGCCCCAGTGGAGTGTGGCGCTCAGATGCGCACGGACACACACAGCTCAGCTGGGGTGGAGGGACACCGACAGCCACCCCCTGGCTGGCCCAGCCCACCTCCTGTCCAGACCTGGGCCACAGGTGGCCACCCCTGTCTCAGGGCCTCCCCTGTCAGGCTTGCAGGGCCTGGCGAGGTTCCTCTCACCTGCAGAGCAGACCAGAGCTCCCGGGCCTCCCTGTCCCCAGACCCCTTCTCCACCATGTCCATCTGGGGCTGAATGCGCTGCCGGGCATAGAAGGCGACCCAGTCCTCCTGCCAGTCGTTCACCTGCGTGGACAGAGGAAAATGCCAGAGCCGAAGGAAGAAGCCCAAAGCGGAGGGGCACGACCACAAGGGTAGGTTGTGGAAGGCGTGCAGCTGACAAGGCAGACGGTGTCTCATGGACAGGCTGGGACCTCAGACCCTGTCCAAGAAGCAGGGGACCCTCCCAGTGCAGAGCAACAGAGACCACTCTGAAGAGCTCTAGGACAGTCTTTCTACCTGTACTCACCTGGGAGCACAGAGCTCAGAGCTGATTGGCCTTCCCCAACCCGTGGCTCATTTCTGACCATCCACCTGGCCCCAAGGACCCCACTTCAGCCCCCACCCAAGCAGCCGGCACTGCCCTCCCCAGAGTGAGAACATGAGGAGTCATGTGAAGCCTGCTTCAAGGAGACCGTCGAGACGCTGACCATCAGGAGGGAAGCAACACACACATACCAGAGTTCAGGGGCAGCAAATACCGCATGATTACGGAGAAGCCCTCCCACAGGCATGCACGCACACACGCAGGTGTCTGTACGCACACGGGGCGGGCTACAGGCAGGCGAGGAAGGAGCAGAGCCAGCTGAAACACCCCCAGAGCTGCGTGGAGCAGGTGTGACCAGGAACCCCAGCCTTCAGCCACTCGCCACCCCGAGCAGGTTCCTGGACAACCTCTCCCCACAGTCCAAAACCTGCATAGTGCCTACTGTGCCCACTAGGAATCCCTGGAAGTTTCCCAGCTCACTCAGTACGCCTCCTCTGAGAAGCCACCACCCTCCCCACTCAGCGTTTGCTGGGCATCGAGTGGAGCCCCGGGGCCCAAATTCCCACGGAGCTAACCGCAAAATCATAAAACTGAACGGTACAATCCACTTGCATCATGCTATCTTTGAGGATCTAGGAGGAAGTAAATTTTTCTGAACTCTAATTTTTACACACCTTGAAATCCAGCATCCTGACTCGTTGGTCCTGTTTCTCTGAGCTTATCTAGCACGTGAGGTGGGTAAACCTCACGTCAGCCTCTTAAAAATTAGCAAAGAGAAAAAGGGTGCAAAGACTTTTACTAAATTTCATAAGTAAGGGAGAGGTGGTTCCTTCCCTGAGCAGCCGACCTGGCTGGAACGCGGAAGGCAAAGTGCTGGCGTCGCTCACCTGGGGGAGGTATCCACAGCACGTCACCACGTCAAACCCAAACTGGTCCACGAAGGGCCGTTCCACCTGCCCGCCTCCTTTCCCTTGTAGGCAAAAGGAAGACAAGAAAGACAACTAGTCCCACACTCCCTCAGGCTGCTCTTGGAGCTCAGGGCAGCTTCGAGGCCTGTCCTTGGTGTGCCCTTTACCTCATGTCCTCATCCAGAGATAAACAAGGGCCCTGGTCTCCATAGACCCTCAGGACCCAGGACCAGAGCCTGTTCCACTAGACTCAACGATGCAAGACACCCACACTGCCCAGGAGAGGCACCGGAGGATGCTCAGAGGAGCAACAACACTGCATCCAAAAGAGGAGGAAAACAGCTCACCCCGTGACCCATCAGGAAAGGATGGCTCTTGGAGGCCAGCTGAGCCCTGGCCATTTGTGAAGAATAACTGATTTGAAATGGCCTCCTTTGCATTCCCTGCGGCTCCCCCACACTCAGCAAATCCCAAAGGCCTGAACTATGTGGGCTTGGAAGGGGCGGGATGGAGCCTGACAGGATCTGTCTGGCACAGTAGATTCTCGGTTGTCTGCTCCTGGTGCGTCAGCCGTCCCGCTCACACAGTGACCCCAGGGCTGCACGCGGACTATCAAATGTGAAAGGATGAAAATACCAGAAGGCACTCTCAATGCCAACACCACACTAAGCTCTACGAAGGCTGGACGTGAGGGCCACCATGCTGTGCCTCCCGTGTGGCTGTCTCAAGAGAAAAGGCACCATGCAGAAAGCCAGAGTAACTCTGCGAGGCTTTCTTCTGGGGAAGGAGGGGCTAAAGGAACCATAACAGGACGGGGTTTCCAGTCCAGAAATACCACTTCTTCCAAACGCACTGTGTTACGGTACAGAACCTCATTCACTGTGTCCGCCATACCCCTAGCCGTGGGGCTGACACTGCTCTCCTTGGGAATCAACAACACAGACCCCACCCTCGTGCCCACGCCAGCCAATGTCTTCGAGGGGCCCTCACACCCACACAGCCGCATACCCACGGTGCCGGCCTCCTTCTGGAGTGTCTCCCCAAGCCTCTTGTTGTCTAGGTGTAGGTCTGCAAGCTGGGTTCCAAGCTTGGCAGCATGGCTGTGAAATAAAGAGCGTCAGCCAAGTGTGTGGCACACAATCGTGGGGTCACAGCCTCCTGCACAGTCTCAGGCCACGGAAAGCAGGTCAAGGGGATATACAGTCGGCTTCGGTGAAGCAAAGGGGAGATGAAGGGCCCTGGTTGTCTGATGCTCTTTCCCAGCCTTTCCCTGGCAGCTGGGTTCCTTGTCAGCATCTCCCCTTGGGAGATTCCTTTCCCGTTTGCCCTCGGCGTGTGGAGTATATCACTCATTCTGCAGCACCCGTGATGTGTGGGGTCACGGGTTCCTCAAAATTACACCCTAGATGCAAGCTTTCAGGTATGAAGAAACCACTCAGAAGAAAAATAAAGCCATGGGGTGCCTAGGGGCTCAGCTGGTGAAGCGACTGCCTTCAGCTCAGGTCATGATCTCAGGGTCCCACGCCAGGCTCCCTGCTCAGCGGGGACTCTGCTTCTCCCTCTGCCTCTGCCCTCCCCCCCGTGCTGTCTCTTTCTCTCTTGCTCAAATAAATAAATAAAATCTTAAAAAAAAAAAAGTCCAAAGACTCAAAAAATGCTTTAAAAAAAAGAGAAAGCCAAGCAAAGAGGCGGAGAAGGTGCCCAGACAGACCTGCTCAGATACCGCATGTCCAAGTGCTCCATCACGAGCATGCTGCCGCCTCCTGGGGCATCAAGGACCTTGATGGGCTTGGGCACTTTCACGGTGTCTGTTCTCAGGATTGCAGTTAAACTTGCCATCTCACCTTCAAACATTCTTTTGGCCTTTCCGAAAAATAACAGAGGAGTGGGGAGAGAAGGGAGAGCAAGATTACTTCTGGAAAGAGTCTACGTAGACATGTTTTCTCAAGCATTACAATTTTAAGCCAAGGCTATCCTGACTGCAGACTCAACAGACGCAGGCCACTTCTCCTGCTTTCGGGCAGAGTGGATTATGCACTGAAGCTGCCCAGGAGTAAGAGGGATAGCACTTTCTTGTTCTGGACCCCCTTCTACACTCTTGTTGAGTCTCTCCAGAGAGGGAACTGGAAGGCCTCCATTATTCCACCAAACGTCTGGTGCAGAGCTGGACTGCGTCCGTGGGCCCTCCCCAGATGGCACCTCAGCCACAGTCCTGTCCCACCTGGCCCTCCACCTCCACATGCCAGGCACCTGGGGTCACCTCTCACCAGGTTCGAGGGCACCTCCGACCTTGTACGGGAAACCATCCCATCTTAACCACCATTTCCAACCTCCCCCCAAAGTCCTTGCTCCCCCAGACTGCAGCGACTGTCCTTCACCTCATCTCCTTGCTCACCACGGCAGGGACCCTTACCAAGGGCAAATCCCAGCCTGGAACACGCCCCAAGCTAGCAACCTGTGTGACAGCCCCACAGGTCTGGCCCTGCCCACTTTCTACGCTCACCTGGGGTCCCTGCCCTGGGCTCCAGTCCTACACCACCATGCACACGTGTGCACACACCAGCATGCGCGTACACATCCCTGTGCTCCTGGGCTACAGCCTTCTTCTAGCTCCTCACAGATCGAAGCCACGTGTAGGGGTGCTTCTGCTTGGAACACCACCCCCACCTTTTGCCAAGTCAGACCCTTCCTCATCATGCTTCAGATTTCAACTTATTATGTTCTGACTTCTCAGAAAAATCTTCCCTAACTTCCCAGACTCAGTAGCTACTCCCTTTAAAGGAGCACCTTTTTTTTTTTTTAAGTCAAAATGCTACAGAAGTATGAGCAGAAAAAGGCACAAGTGGGAGCATCTGACTCCAATTTTCACAAAGTCTGCACATTGCATGACTGCCCCCTGGACACAGACAGGACACTGTTGCCCGGAGGCTCCTCTGCTCCCAGCCATTCACATCCCCCTCCCCACAGATGTGTCACGTCTGCTTTGTCCTTGTACATGCAGAAGCTTCTGGCTTCTTTGTCCCACTGCCTTTGTTATGCTGGTGCATCAACAGTCAGAGTTTATTCTCACTGCTGCACAGAGCTCCCCTGTGTGAGTATTCCAGAATGGGCTCGCGCAGTGTACTGACAGACAGCTGGGCTTCCAGTGTGGGTCTACTATGAAGTGCTGCCAGGGACCTGCCTCTACTTATTCTCAGGACTGACTCTATGACCTAGGGCAAGGTGCTTAAGTTCTCTGTGCCGGCTCCCTCACCTGTAAAAATGGGGTTAATAACAGTACCAAGCTCACAGGCTCGCTGCCGTGAGCAACCGAGCTAGCAGCTAACACTTACGTAGCCCATTCTGAACAGTTTATAAACATCATCATTATTATACTACCTTGGAGAGCTGACCTCACTGAGGAGGAAGATAAGAACTGCGCCTTGAGCATTTTCTGAACATTCTCTTTAGGAGATGAAGGAAAACAACTGCCTTCCGGCTACTTTGTACTAGAGCACTGGTCGTGAAAAGGAAAGTGAGGAGTAGAATAAGATCATCAAAAGTAATCATGGGGAGAGAGGTGGCGAGGAACTTCACAGAAATGTCTGCTGCTCTGTGCGAGGAGAGTGAGGGAGAAGTGGGCAGCAGGTGCGGCACAGTGCTACAAAAAAGATCTGGAGCTTAAGGGAGGAGGAGGAGAGGAACCAACCGCAAGTATGCAAGACAGATAAGAATAATCTTCTTTAGAGCAGGTCAATTCAAGTGGGGTGAGAAGGAAAAGGAAAAGCAATCAGGTAGTCTTCTCCTAGAAGTGCAGAAGATATTTTCACTTCCTACAAGGTAAAGCATAAAAGAAAGTCCTGTTTTCATACAACCAGCCAATGTTTACGCTACAGCCAATACGTCTGCATGACTCACACAGTATTTTCCACAGAAAGCTAGAAAATTACATGTTCAGAACTATCTGCCAAAGGACCAGAAGGAACTTAGGGGAGAAAGATTAGCAAAAAGAAAATGGACTTTGGGGCACCTGGCCAGCTCAGTCGGTAGAACGGGCAGCTCTTGATCTTGAGGTTGTGAGTTCCAGCCCCACGTTGGGTGTAGAGATGACTTAAAAATTAAATCTTAATTAAAAAAAAAAAGAAAATTGACTTTGATGACAAAAGAAAAAGTAAGAACCTGAACACATAGCAGCTCAAGAACAATGCTCAGAAAGTGTCACTAAGTGGGCCCATTTTAATCACTGGAAAGTATTTGCTTTCCCCTGTAATTAATACCCATTCTGAATTATAACAAATGCCAGCGAAGGTGGAAATACAAACAGGAAAAGGGCAAATGCCACATAAATGGGAAAACAAAACCAGAAAACAGAGAAGCCCTGCAGGAAAACGTAAGGAGAGACAGCACGACTGCGTAAGGGCTGCCCGAGCTAAGCCCAAGCACAAATGCGGACAGATTCCTATAAAAGGGCTGTGCGGCAGGACCTGCAGCTGATCTCTGCAGAACAGAGCACGAAGGTGGGTCTTGAGAGAGCAGCAGCGATTCAGAAAGAGATCATCCCCTATCGCGGAAGGTGGGATTCACATCTGGGAAGAAAATGAAAACAACTCCAAGAATGCTTTCTAGAGAAAGAATAAAAGCACGCCAGGTGTGTGACGTGAGCACTTGGTACTGGGGTCAGTCTTTCAGCCGTATCTGAAACAACACACCGCCAACTGCTCACGGTCTCCTGGAGCCAGCCGGGGCCTTCCGGCTAACATCGGGGTGACCCACCCCAACTGGGCCCAGAAGTGACACCAGCAACCAGGAGGAAGTGCGGCTTCCGCAGTGAGGCTCACCTGCTTTCTACAGGGACCTTGGGAAAAAGTTCATGTACAAACAATTTTCTGGAGTGGGTGGCTACAGTGGGCTGAAGCTGGTGCCCCCTCCCCAGTTCCTCTGTCAAAACCTATCCCCCAGTGTGACCCTGTTCAGAGGTGATTAGGCTCCAAGGGCTAGAGCCCTCTTAATGGGATTGGTGCTCTGACAGAAGAGACCCTAGGGAGCTCCCTTGCCAGAGCTCCCTCTGACACTGAAAACACAGGGAGAAGTGGCCTTCCCATCATAGAAGTGGGCTCTCAGCTCCCAGAACTGAGAAATAAAGGTCGGCTGCCTACACTGCCGGCTCTGTGCTCCAGTGGCCCAAACTCACAAAGGCAGTGGCTAAATTATTTTCAATAATCCAGAAAGGATTTTGATCTCTGCAAGTTCAAATAAACCCCAGAACAAGAGGCTGCTACTACCAGACCCTGTTCAAAACTCCCCAAGCAAGGGATTTCTCAAAGTAGCGGCCACATCCATCACTGGAAAGCCATCCCCCGAACCACCGTCCACACTGCAGCGGGGCGCATACTTGGGCGCAGGGGTCCCGAGAGGGCCGCCCAGGGGGTCCGCTACCCTCCCTGGGGTTCACACGGCTCACCCTGGGTACGCGACCCCAGGAACGCCCAGACACAGCCTGAAGGGCAAGGGGGTCAGCAAGTGCCACTGCCCTCTGGCCCTGCTGTGCGGACCCCAGCCCGGGCCTTGAGCATTTCCACCCCAGACCCGGAATCCCGGACTTCGGACCCCCCACTCCACACCAGGACCCCAG